AGATACACATTATACTGTTTCATATTTCTTTAACAACCCAACTTTTATCATTTTCTTAAATGTACACGATCCTGCATTTTTTACATCACTGCCCAAATAATTCCATAGTTTTATTCCTTGAATTAAAGCACACCGTTCCTTCAAACTAGTTCTGAATTTGAGTTTTTTACAACCATCTCTGTCCCTTTTTAAGGTTACAACAACTCTTTCTCTTAACACAATTTACTTGGATGTTTAAAGATAATGTGTTTTTGTGGACCTTAAACATAACCWGTAGAATATTATAATCAACCAAATCAAAGAACTTCAGTATTTTCAATTTACAAAATAATGAATTTGATGGGTGCTATATAAGCAGAAAGTAACTTTTARCTGAGAAATGAGTCGATGTAGCTTGTTTACTAATTAAATAAAACACAGCTAAGGTGGGTATTGAAAGGTAAAAACATACAGAATAGAATGTGTGTTGTGCACCTGCCTGTACCTGTTTGTAAACTCAACTCCCTATGKGGAATATCTCATATATGGACTTTTTATTAGAGATTTGAGACAGCCATGAATTCATATATCAAGTATTATCCAAGTTGCATGTTTTCTAATTTTCTCATTTTCCCTAAGAGTGCGCTGTGTGTTGGTACATATTATTTCTAATAAACAAAAAAAAAAACCCAACAAACATACAAACTTTATATGGAAGCTTTGCATGCCATCTTTAATTTATTCTTTTGCTTTGTGTTCTCCATAGAGGAAGTTCATTTCTATTTCACATTTATAAAGTCTTGTCAAAATGAAATGACCTGCGGAAGCAGATGAAACTTGAAATAAAATCTCCTCGGACTGGCAGTTTTTAAATTTTCCATTTAATTTGGATTTTAGGAGTCACGCTTAAGCTCATCCCCTTTATCTATGAGAAAAACAACAACACCTAAAGCGCAGCAAATAGTTGACACCCCTGCTAACTTGTAAGCCTATTTTGTACCAATTATGTGGAAATAAGTTATATTTATCCTGCTGCATGTGCATGGCTGTTGGTAAGGTTGAAAGAATGCAGCAACACGGAAATGAGTCATCTTATTCTCTCTCTCTCGGCGATACTAACGGTGTGGAAACACTTTTTATTATGTGCCACACCTTAAATGTTGCAGACTACTGAGACTTGTTGCAAAATATTTCTCGTCACTCTTCAATAATATATATTTTCACTAGGGCTGTCAAAGTGACTAATATTTTTAATCTGATTAATCCCAAAGTAGCTGTGAATTAATCATGATTAATCTTAAATTTAATATACATTTTTATTGCATATTGATAAAGTAAATTACTTGAGTTATTAACTAGTTTTTAATGTTTTTATTTAGAAAACAAAATTGATGCTTAGACAGGATTTTTTTGAATATAAAACAGGACCTAAAAATGCTCCAAACATATTTGAGTCAGTTAAATTTTGTGCAGAATAATGAGGTTAAATCAAGAATTCAAGGATTTTCTTTCCAAATGAGTACATGAGGAA